CTCTTTCCAGACCAAAAAACAGCTCATTGGCTTTGAGGTCAGAAGATAAGACTGTATTAGTGCAGCAAACCAAACAAGAAAAGTCTCTTCCCCAAGTGCCAGCTTAGTCACCGAGAAGCTTGTCTTAAAGTACCCTACCAAATACTGTTTCACTCTGCGGACCGTTTCACTCTGAAAAGGGTGAGACAGACAGGCAACTGCTACAGACAGGCTGCTTAACGTGCAAATAGAAGGCACTGACACAGCTCTATTAAAGAGACTGTTAAGAGAACCTACACTGGACTAGAAAATTTAAAAGGCTCCGAAAGGGGTCTTATATGTAAGATAAGTTAACATATAACATATTGTAGGTTATTTTATATCTAAGAGGGAGACTTTAGACTCAGATGTTTTCTTCAGATCCTGCAGTCAATACATAGAAAACATGAGTATGAATTCATCACTGCATGGTCAGTATCAAAAAGCTGCTGTATAATACAACTTAGGCAGGACAGGAACCTCAAACACTGGCAAAAATGATGACAGTCACCTGGATTTAGATGCTTAAGAGCAGCAAAAATCAAGGCAGAAAGGTGAGCCCAAATTTGGATGGCAACCAGGGAAGATAGCTACACAGCAAAGGTTACCAAAAAAATGCTTGTATCATATCAACTGCAACAAGAGACAGTCCCAATACGAAGGCAAGCAATAATCTGTGCTGGCATTGGTCTCTGTCAGTCAATACTTAAAAAAAATACCCCACAAGAGTTGCCACTGCCTCAGAGATTTGTCACAGAGGTTGGAAGAGCAATCCTGTTTTCATCTAGACCGTTCCCCTTTGAGAGTCAGCCAGCTGACTGAAAACCAGCACCAGAATCAGGAGTTACTGAGCAATTTATTAACTAGTAGAACGAGTACCAAATGTTACAAATTCAATAATCATTGATTTAGAAGGTACTTTACCTGTAAAGGACCTCAAACTAGCTTAAAAAAACGTTCTTCAAATATTTTCATTCAGATCTTGTGATGCTGGAGAGTGCCTTTCAAGTACATTATGTACTCAACCTTTCCACAAGTTTTCACGTGCTCACACTACAACATAATAGTCAATTTCCTGGTATAAATGAAACCCAGAAAGAGTAGTGCAAGAGGACATTTTCTAGGCACTCTGGTTCCCAGTTTTATGGCAAGTCTCCATCTGCATTAATGATTCCCAATTGTTAATACCTTAGCCCTCCCAGCCTTGGCATCCCTTTTGACTTCTAAATTTTCTCATCTCAGCAACTCCCTGTTTACATATATTGCTGCTGCTCAACTGCAGAGACCATAGGAAGAGATTTGCTTCTGAAGGAACTGCAACTTTTTTGGAAGTTACAGCCCTTCTGCTGCAAAGTGAGATCTTATCAGATGGGTGCTCCTCAGCTGTTTCAGGATAAGCAAATGAGGTTTTCTTACCAAGTGAAGACAAAACCAACAACACAGGAAATCAACAAAGAGCCACTGGGCAGACTTCCTATGGTTACTAACGGTTCTGTACCTTCACCTTTTCAATACTAAGAATTTGGAGTTATGTGAACAGCAGTTGAGTTTTTTTCCCAGCAAGCTGGACTGATGGAAGGACCACACTCTTTTGGGTTTTCACACAAAGATAATTCCCAAGATTTGACTGAGCACCGATGAGACAAGAGTCACACTGTGTAACAGAAGTGGCCTTTCAGAATGAGAGCAGGAAAAATGAGGCAGTGTATTTAACCCTGCAGTACCTGACTGGAAGACGTATCTGGCTAAGCCTTGCATTAACTCTGCTGGCCAGGTAGGTGGTGCCGACTCCCCCGTTTCTCTCTTTAGTCGAAACGTCAGCTCAAATCCAAAACCACTTGGTCCATCTGTTCCCGTAAACCTGGAGGGAATGAAAAATAAAAAGTCATGACATAATTCTTGTAACCATAGCAGGCTTCAAGATCAGGACCGTGGAAAAAGGATGAATGTTCTCCTCATAGAAAAGACAAGTTTAGAAATTCTCTTATTTCAGTCTAGTCTAGCTCAAATGGCATAACATTGAGGTTAGCTGATATAATACAATTTCAAAGATAACTATCATAGTAATGTTTTCAGTCAGAATAATGCAGTCTTGGAACCATGACCTCTTTCTTTGGACCAGCGGGATTTTCAGCAACCTGAATTTGTTTTTAAAACATCATTGTAAGCTTTGCACTGATAGCTAAATGGGGACATGAAAGAAAGTGCATAACAGAAAATAATGTTATTCAACTCCTGCGAATTCAAATTTCTATACATTGAGAAGTGGGATGCAACTAAAGTACTGGGTAATACATTCTTGGGTTGAAACAGTTGAATATTGTGATGTACAGCACACAATTTCTGCATTTGCGGATGGTCAGCAGGGGAGAGGGAAACAAGAAGATGCAAGCTGAAAGTTAATAATCTCTCACACCATGCATTAATTCTTAATTTGCTCTGCATATCCCTGCACACATTCTCCTTGCATAAGTAGGAGGACAACAGCGGAAAAGCATTGAATATGACCCACTAATGATCAAGAAGCAGTAGTTTGGCCATTTTGCCATTTGACAGAGATAGGTGCCAATTTGTTTGGTTTGGTCAGATAGGGTACACCCAGGAGAACGGTCATAATCAAAGCATCAAGCCTATAATGAAGAGGAGGAAATAAAGGATACCCCATACTACTCTTTGCTTCAACAAAACTAGTCCTCAAGAATCCCTTTTATTTTATTTATACATATGGGAAAGTTTTTGTTCCAAGTCCCAAACAGCTGAAAATGCCACATTTGCCTGTGGAAAAAGAAATGCCATGGATAAATACATAAGCTCGCAAACTTGAAAGAAAGTTGGGGACATCCATGTCGCCACTGTCACCACATCCCTTGCTTGGTTGCTGCAGCTGTCGCACAAAGAAAGAAGGATTTACACTGAGCATAAAGACACCTCACAGAAGCTTTCATAAACCAGTATCATTCTGCAAGTTCAAATCTCCAACACCTGCAGCCATTGGCAAATTCTCTGGAGAAACTTTGCAAATGTCTTGGATGCTGGAACCTTGGCTGGCACAAATGAAAGGTACAACGCACAAAGTGTTAACATTGTCCTACTTCTAAAAACAGACAAACAGAGCAGTCAGGAAAGTTATGAGAGCACTTTCCATTTGAAAAAAACAGCTCACCAGCAGTTGGTGACCAGTTCCAAGTCTTGGACGGATTGTTCCCATAGTAAGGAGTCTGGTCTGAAGCAGAAAGACTTTATAGTGATCCTGCCTAGTGACATGTTAAAACCGATCAAACTTAAGCATTGATGCAATTCTTTCATCATGAAATGTAACTTTATTTGAGAATTCTTCAACGAAGCTTTGATTGTGGTAGGCTTTCAAGTGTTGTAATGAAAGTAGTTAAGAAACATACCCAAGGATAGGACTAAACTATGGGACAGCCCAAAGAGATAACAATAGGTGCGACTGAAAACAAAGACAGCAGGTATTGAAAGTCATAGAATCATAGAATTGTTGAGGTTGGAAGGGACCTTTAAGATCACCAAGTCCAACCATTAACCTAACCTGACAAAACTACTTCTAAACCATGTCCCCAAGAATCTCGTCTACCCTTTTTTTAAATACCTCAAAGGATGGCAAATCCACCACCTCCCTGGGCAGCCTACTCCAACATTTGATAAACCTTTCAGTGAAAAATTTTTCCTAATATCCAATCTAAACTTCGCCTGGCATAACTGGAACCCATTTCCTCTCGTCCTAGCACACGTCACTAGACAGAAGTCGTCATCCAGACATCTACAATAAAGGGGAGTAAACAATGTAACAAATAAAGACTTTATTTCATTAGTATAAAATACACAAGCATGTCCATTTTTGTTTCCTTCCATATTATCCTCAACAAAGAATTTGAGAATTATACCCTACTGAAGCAAAATTCGCTATGAACAGAGCAGATAATGCATTTCAGAATGGTCAACTGGTACATACAAAACCTCTTTTAGGAAAGAAGTGTACCCTTAAGCAACAAGTCAAATAATTACATTTGGTTCTTAAACAAAGCAAGCGCTTACTGAATAACCAGCCAGCTAGGGAGTGGAATCTGGATGTGCAGCGAAACTTGTGTTCTGCAATCATGCATGCAGGTCCAACAAAAAGACTGGTAGAGGATGGCGATAGCCTCACAACTGTGAAGTTGTACTTTGTACATTCAGCAATCCTGTAGTGTTTTATTAATTTCACATATCAGTTAGCAAAGGAAAAAGAGAAATATTTCTTAAAGGGAGAAACAAAAATGCTTCAAAGCGGGTAGATTTCAAGGACTGATTCCAGGAAAAAGCATTCACCAGAAACTGAAACACATTATGAATGGGTCAATTTTAAGGATCAAAGTTAACAAAAAGCCTTCAAGCTGATCTTTCACAGTTAAAATTTTTGGAAAGTAAGATGACTCCGTATTGAATTTCCTCCTTTCAAGGCACGTTCTGAAACAACACAGCTTTACTTCTAATATGCATCAAGCTGGAGTTTAGTGGGGATTTTTTTTTTTTTTTAACTCCACAGACCTCTCTGCTTCCCAGAAATAACTGTTTAAGACAAGACCACACATGCTTTATATTGATCCATACGCAAGTTAGAGTAACAGAAGTGTTCAGGTGAGTATCCATCAAATTTAAAGCAAGACAAATATTTATGAGAACATTGCTGGTCAGCAATCACCAGTAGCTGCAAAGCAGTAAAACTGACAGGCAATGTTACTTACATGATTTTTTTGTATGGTAATGAAAGAGACTCTAAACCAGAAAAGTACTAACAGAAGAGAAATAGAATACAAGATAAGGACACGATCAGTAAGTTCTAAGATTTAAAAAAAAAAACCAAACAAACCTCTGAAGAACAAAAAGATGTATCTTCTAAAAAACAGTCAAAAATGCAGCAGCATGCAATGCTTATAATTCTCAAATTCTTAAATTAACAATTAAACCTTAGAAAAATCCTATTTGCATGTAAGATATTTGTGCTTAAAGATTAAATTTAAAATGTTTTTGAATAGCTAATGGCCACAGGTTGCTAAAAATACACTGCTTTGTTACGGTGAAATTTTAAATACATGCAATTCACCTGTATTGTGCAGCTGTTCCGAGGTAACAGTCTATAAAGTAAAAGCCTTTGTTCTGTTTAATTTTAGGTTGGTAATTTGTTTTTGAAGAAATTGTAACACATGTGGCTTTAAAAGCTTGCAATTATTTTAGAAATCCTTTCAGACAAGGAAGAAATATTAATGTTCAGAATGTAATTAGGATAGTAATTTTCAGTTAGCATTTTTGCCAAAGCTTTTGCTTTTATTCTTCAAAAAATGTACTTGAAATCAAGTCTTGTATTTGAAAGTAAGTTGAATGTAGCTTCAACAGCTGCCATAAAACTTCTCTCAATGAACAACGGACCAGAGCTCCTGGCCAAGGTCCGAAGGATGTACATGAGAATGGAGACAGATGTGAGCTTCAGGAACTAAACCAATCTATAACCCTGCCACGTGCCTCTGACCCTTGATCTAACAAAAATCACAGAGAAGAATCCAGTAGCAGAGTTATGCAGTTTGGCTTCTCTTATGGAAGTCATTTTCACTAGGGAGTGAGTGCTTAGACCAGCCTCGACTCCAAAATTTGTGAGGATAAGGATGCATCAGTCCGCTGGAGGAGAGGCAAATAGCAGCCACAGCCACCAAATGCATGGGAAATGAATTTGCCTGGTAAGAAGCCCAAGACCTCCAGATACAAGTGCCATATGAATAGAAGACCGAGTAAACGGCTTTTTATCCCCCACAACTGTAAAGAGACCACTTCCTTAGATCTGGACTCTAAGCACCTGCTGATTCCCCCAAAGCACCTGTGTCCAATTCTGTTCCAAGACCTTACCAATAAGAAAGAAGATGCACCTATTGTAACCAAGAAACGCATCCATGATTAGGGAGCTAATAAAGTGAGATTCCCCATAAACAAATTAATTTATACCAAGATATTCTATTACGCCCATGTGGAAACACTGGATTCCCAGGGCAGCCTCCTCCTTGCAGGTTACGACCCTACTGCTTGGGGGTTATCTCAGGAGGCTGCTGTGATACTGGACAAAAAAGGATCACACCTTGCAGAGCTGTCGATGTTCAAAATCATGCTCCTTCTCACAAGTCCACAATTTTCACCTAACTTCCAGAAAAGTCAACCACCTTCAGCCAACCATTGTCAACCAACAAGCTAAAAAAACCCCCCCAAAATAGTTCCAGAAGAGACAGACTGAAGAAGCCTCATTTCCATAGAGAACTGGGTGGAGGGGTGAGGATAACCCATAGATGGAAGAAGTCCTGCTAAAGCACATGGATGCCAGGTTTGCTCATGACCTCTTCCATCGACCCCCCAAGTTCACTGCTGTCTGCACCTGCACCAACCTGCTCCCTTCCAAGCAGGCAGCAAAGCATCCGCAGCAGGTTACCCCGACTCCTGTGTCAACTGCGAAGGTAACGTTTTTATCACACACTTTTTGTTCTACAACAGCAAGATTCTGGCACTATTTGGGGATGGTTCCTTTGTGAACAAAGGAGGTGGTGTTTTTGGGGTGATTTTTTTCTGGTTGTGGTTTGGTTGCTTGTTTTGTTTGTGTGTGGGGTGGGTTTTTTTTGGTTTTGTTTCATTTTTTTTTTTATCAGAAGGTGACCAATTCAGACTACAGCCAATTTAGAACAAAGGCTTTGGAGCTCAGTTCAGCATCTCAACACTGAAGTTCTTTACAGCTCATTTCTTCAGCAAAACAATTACAATGCAGCAGTCCAAACGTACCTCAGCTTCACAGTAAGATGATGATCTGAGATAGAGCGTGTGCAGGAA